AATTGTGACGTCGCGTCGAGACCAGACGGCGATTTCTTCTTCACGGTTCGTTTAGCGCGTTCGCCCCGTCGCCCCCATTTCGAGTACGCCGCATTGCGGCCTCAAACCAAATTCACTTTTTAGATTTTCGATAATAACTTTTCAACCGAATTCCACAAAACCAAAACAAGTTTTCAAACAATCTAAAATCATGTTTTGCTATACAGGAATATTTCGTAATTGTACATAAGTAAAATCATATGAAATAAAAGGTCAGTTTGCCTACGGCCATTTTGATATCATCACTAGAATGGGTAATACATTTGTAATTAAATATCTATTATGCGTTGTTGCTACAGGAACAAGAAATAAAACAAAAAATCTTAGAATCTGCGCATTGCTTTTGCGATATTAATACCTGTTAATACATAAAAGTACCACGCTCTGATTCTTCAAGGTGAATGTCACGAAAGAAGAGAAGGAAGCGACCGGCCGCAGAAAGACTTCTTCGACGTGTCTTCGCTAGCGGCGTTTTGCAATCGCTTTCGAGTTCGAGTTTACGTTCGTAGCTTTATTAGACTTTTTACAGCACAACAATTACTGACAATTACTTGCAATTATACGTACGTACGCTTCCTTCCTTTTTAAATTATTTGTGTAGGAATAAATTCGTTGAAGCTTAAACTTTGTTGGCTGGCGAAATTTACTAAACATATTTTAGTTATCTTTAAGATAACTTTCAATTAGGAAAATATTCCTTTCTCGGTAAAAAATTTATTACACGCGCAAAATACAAACTTGTTGTAGCAATTGCAGTTGCATTGCACACTTTCAAGGACTTCGACAAGGTCTTCCAGTGCAATTTCTACAAATTTCTATCTGTATACTTATACATCTCCAACATAAATTCAATTTCATATTTACTGGGAAGTGAAAGATACTCGTATGGTACTTACATGCAAGATGAATAATATGAGTGCGAATGTGAAATTCGAGATGTTTCATCTGTATGGGATGAATAATCGAGGAACAAGCATGATAATACATACTTTGCAAGTGAGTAATGATTTTTAGTATCCTAATTGGAAAGTTAAAACGTAAAACGCAAAATTAACGTGAAGAATTGTTCATCTAATCGCTTCAATTTTTATCTACCTGAAACATTTGTTAATGTTCGTTGTATACACGTGATTTACGTTGTTTAACACTCAATTCTATTGAATTTATTGTGATTATATGTTGGTATGTGAAAATGTGGCGCACTTTCTTTCACGCTTTATTTATTTATTGATGAATGATTGTGAGTTATTGTGATGCACTTTGGTCGAGAAAAATTTGCGCCATCAATCAACATGGATTAATTTAATCGATGTTTGTTCATGGTATAAGTAATATCAAGTTTATCAAGTTTATCAGGTGCTCATACAAATACGTAAAATATTTTTTTGTAGATTATTTATTAAATATTCTAAATATTAAGTTAAAAGCACTTTCAATTGTAGTGAGGTCGTTAGTTAAATTTAGTGTAACGTTAGAATAAAATTGAAGATGTACCTGTTGTGTATGTCGTGTAATTACTTCCGTTGGCAGTTAAATCGTTGTTTGTTTTCGTTAACCTTTTCAAGCACGCCGCCGTTAACGTCCTTGAAAATTGTGACAAACTCATGCACCAGCAAATTTAAATCCAACGAAATCAAACAATGCAAATTAATTTTAATAATTTATCACTGGCGATAAAAATGTTCATGTTTTTTTTAATTTTACGGATTGTTTCTTTACACGTGTTTCACATTTTATTTTACCAATTATTTAAGTAAATACTCATGTTTCATTTTAAATTTATTTAAATTATTTTTGTTGCATTTTTGCGGAAGCAGACAAAACGAGAAACGCGAACCGACTGATGAACGTGTGGTCGTTCGCGTTCACGTCCGCTTGTTTACCTTTTACCTCTTGCGCCTCAACGGTTGGCTCGCACGCAACAGCTGGGTCTGAAGAAGGCGCACACCGGAACAAGCGTGTGAACAGTGTGAACAAAATCATCGAAGCATTTCGAATTTATTTGCACTGTTATATGTTGCTATAGGCAACTTTACAGCACAGGTGTAACATTGGTTGCATAGCATACAATATCATTGAGTAGTTTAAAATTCAACCAACCTGTAAAGTTCCTTTTGCACGTGGTAGAAATTGTCGCAAAGCGTAACTGAAAATGCGCATTAGTTATTTTCCTCGAATTTTAGCAACACGCTACATAATCATTACGTAATCATTAAAACGAATTATATTTCTCAATCAATCAGCACATAATTTGGTAGAAATTGTGATTTGGCATGCAAATTTCGTGTTGTCGTATGGTCCTTGCAATCGTCGTTTTACTACGTTTTTTACACTCACGACTTGTGTTTTACAATCACGAGTTAACTTCATTCGGGCCAGGCGCGAGTCGTAAATTGCAAAATCGAAAATTTACAAACAATAAAACGAATGGCTGTTAAGCACATACAGAGTGTTTCTAGAATTATGAAATTATATGCTACATCAAAAAATAAATGTAATTTATGTTGGGGTGTGGCTTGGTTTTAAGATTATTCGTTAAAGCAGCGAAAACGAAACGTGCAGTACAATCAGTAGAATGCAGAAATGCGGAATGCGTTCTGCGCTGCGGGTCGGCCACCTTGAACCAATTTAAAAAGTCGAATTCAACCGCACCGCTGGCACGGCTACTTACAAATCACAATCGGTAATCAAGAATAAATTCACGCGGCATAAACGCCCATAAAAGAACACTTTCACGCATAACACGCACGCGAAACACGTTCATTTTACATTTCGAACTTTAACATAGGCAACAAACAATACATTTGTCATATTTTAGGTTAATAACTTGGTAAATTTGTACATATTGATGTTATTAAGAATTGCAATCTATAAAATTGCATGTTATTATTAAATAGGATACTATTCATTATGAATGACATGCGCGCGTGAATATAAATAAATCAATACATTTATGCATTAAATAAATACGTTGTTATATAGGTATTGATCTGAACAGGCTTTTATTTGTGCCTCAATGAAGATATACGCACGCTCGAGGCCTTTATCAGCATACAAACGCCGGTGTATTGTCATATTTTGCTGCGTTGCTGATGTAGATGTTGAATTTTAATTTGCATAACTGGAGCGCACAAAATAACAAACACAGCAAAGTGAATTTGTCGCTAAAATACCAAACGCATGGCAAATTCGCCCATCGTATAGAAAGGGCAAATATTTATTGATGTGTACGTAGCTTAAGCCGTTACAACAGTATACATAGTAGGTACTCAAAATTAATACTCGCGATAAAACAACCCCATAAATCCGTGCCCTGCGGCATTAAATGGAGTTAATGCTAGTAATTAATTCGAACCAATGGCGGCAGGTGGGCAACGCTTCTGCGCGAATTTAATGGCAGCCGCATTAAAATTAAAGATTACTGCTTACGTTTTGTGGTCTGAATATATCATATAATTCGGATTTTTAGGACGATATATTTTTTCAGCGCCTTAATCAAATACATAAAATGCTAATAAGGGTTTAAAAGTTCTAAACTTTATGCAATATTAGCTGTCAAGCGAAACTTCGAACACCTTCATCAATAAATCTCGCCGAAGCATAATTAAGAACTGAATCTAATAAAGTTTTGTGATTAAGATGAAAATGAATTCTCAAAATGAAATGTTTTTATTAACATTGAAGAAAAGATGAAAATATTTTTTGTTTTTAATTTTTTCTTCTTCAATTTTGACTGTTTTGATAATATCTACCTGTTTGCAAAAGATATTGATTATATTATTGCACTGCCGTAAAGACATTTGCGTTTATTCCAATCGTAATTCGCAAAATTTCAACATTTAAAAGGATAATGTTTGATTTTTTCCGCATTATTAGAAAGACTTACACTCTATCTATATATTATGAATATTGTAAATTAAATTAATATTTAATCTGATGAATGATAATATTAACTATAAATGATAGATTGATTAATTTCCATTTGCAAAATAAAAGCTTACGATAGAGTAATCATACGAGTACATCAGACTATAAATTAACTTAATTTATAACATTACAATCTCATTGTTAATCATAACGTGTTATCTGCATCAATAAATGCGTAATTGAAAGTTTTATAACAAGGCGCAATAGCGCTGCATGCATAAGTAATAATATCATCACTTTTATTATCCAAACATAATCAAGCAATTCTCTGCGCATGCAACATCACAATGTAAACAAAGATAAAAAGAAACATAATCGTATGCAAGACATTGCTATGTACGATTTAAATCTAAATCATTTCGATGAGTGCAACACTTGGCTGATTAAATTTCACTCTCACGCCATCATGCTATTCACTCTTTATCTATTAAAATATTACAATTAAGTACTGGAACATAATTCTAATTGCGTGTTTCAAATTTCTCTTGTTGATTTACAGATATAATAATAATACCTTGCGTTGACAATGATATAATAATTTTTAAATTACTACAAGGCACATTAAATTGTTTAAAATAATATTATAATTGAATGAAATACTTTTAGTCATTTGACTCTTAAATTCTTAGATTTTATTATGTTATTGTGTGAAAATCAGTAATGCCCACGTGACTGATACGAATAATTCCGTTTATCATTAATTAAAATAGCATGCGCCTCATTTTGCACTAATTAATCGGCCTACGCAGGCACGTCTTGCGACTGAAGACTTTGAATCGACGATTGTTCGCAGCTAATTGGCTAAACGACGACTGCGAGATGCTCTTTTACTCATTTGCTTCCAACGCGTCTTAATTACAACTCGCAGGAGTTAATTGACTTATTGTTTCATACCTACATTGTTAGAAACCATGATATGCACTTGTCACTTTGGAAATTTGCATAGAAAACTTTAGTATCAGTAAATTGAATTATTTTTTATACGTTGAGCACAAAATATTATTTTGCCCTTGTTGGTATTAAATGTGTCTTACCTTTTGTTCCGATATTTAGTCCCACCGTAATCCGATACGTTAGAAACATAATAGCTGCGTTTCTTCCGCTTCTTCATGCATAGAACATTAGTCGACAGCATTTTGTTGACGTTTTCTTTTCAACTTTCGCAAGTTTTGATCACTTTCTTCGCATTAAAACCAAGTTGTTCACTTTTCACCTGACACTCTCGGGATACTATATTGTAACGCACAATATTTACGATTTACTGTAGCTTGTACATCGGTTTCAATTCAACATTTTCTTATTTTCAGCACCACTTTACAATGTTTTGGGTATTGCTCACGATGACTTCCCAACGGATGAGTTTTTCACGCTTACTTGGTGCTGTCCTGATGCTCCTTTCGTGCTTTTTTTTGCTGCTTCACGTCGAGGATGTACTTGTTTTCCACCCGGATCCAACTGCTTTTTTATTTACTTCTTTTTGCCTTTCTATATGCTTTTTTATTATTATTCCAGGAAGCTGTCCGGGTAGTTTATAACTTGCAATAAGGCAACCTTTATTACTCGTTTTTATCTATTCGCGCCCAGACGACGCACGACAGCAAAGAAACGACGTTGTCGCCATTGAAGGAGTCGGGGGTGCCGGAAAGCGCACAACTCGTGGGACGAAACAGCGATAACATTCTGAATCGAAATGGTGCGGGAGTTGGAGACACTTTGCCGCTCACGTCGATGTTCACACTCGGGGGAGTTTTTGCAACAGATGGAAAAACCAACAGCAAAGTGTCACCAGAGAATCGCGAATGGCATGATAAACATTCGTGCGTCGAGCGGGACGAGAAAATTGGTTGCAGAGTCAATGGTGATTTATGCTATGGATATCTGGAAAAAGCGAACAAAACAGTTTAGAATCAAGGAAACAGTAAGTTATACATTATATTACATGGTTATACATGGTAAAATTAATTAAATTGCATTGATTGAATTAATTTAATTTTTGTTTAACAAATTTATCTCTTTACTAGCTGTCCTGAGGAATTTCGCAAAACCGTATCGACAAATGAGATCTTAAACAAATTATTGACTGAATTTAAGTCAGTTTTTTATTATGATAAAATTAATATTTTTTCTAGTAACATCTGAGTTTCAACCGCCAACAAGACTTTTGATTTAATCGAGAAAATCACAATCAAATTATTGCAACAACTCCACGATCGACTATTTTCTAGTAAAGTACAAAATATTGTCGATTATGGATAATTTTATTTCAGATCCACGAATTTTTCCAGTGATGAAATAATTATATTTCTCTTCCAGTCAGAGACAAATTCAACAAATCGAAGATAATACTCGTATATTTTGAACCAGTTGAGCTAAAGTTATAAATAGCGTAACACCACCGACATTGCTTGATAAACCAATTGCTTGACAATCAAACAAGCCGGTTTGCAAACAACCTAAATATATGCCCGAAGCGTTTCGTCTTCAGACAGCTTTAACGGGTACTGGGCCACGAGATTGTTTAGCAAAAGCCTGTATTGAACGCACCGCGCCAGTCCAAGTCGTAAACAAACAAGTTTCGGTGACCGGCTTCTTATATAACGTTTTTTGCCTTAAACAGTTCTAACTAATTAAATTTATGCAATAACTGTCTGATTACTTCATAAAAATCGCGCGGCTGAAATTAAAATTAGCAATAAAACCAAAATGGCAAACTAATAACTAAAATACAGCCATATATAGAAGATAAACCAATATAGATTTTCTAAAAATCTTGATATACTCTACAGATAATATAAAAAGCATGAAATTAAAGTGTAATAATGTGAAGCGGAATGTTGTGCACTTTTTTATGTTAGCTATCTACGCATAACATAAAATATAAGTAATAAGTGGATAGTGAGAATAAAAAATATAAAGAAGTTGGATGCCAGAAACATAGAAATTAAGTGCGCACGCATTTGACCAACGAACCGACTCAAGTTAAGTTAACTCTGCTCAAGACCGAGTCAAGTCGAGCAAGCATGCCTAAGAAAATGTATTACCGTTGGAATTTTATTAATCATATCAACTATCCGCACACATGTGGCGAGTGGCGCATCACGTAATAGGAAACGAAAGAGAATCTTGTACAGATGCACACATGCGCATGAGCTGGATTCTTCGGGCTTCGCAACCGCGTGATGGTTAATTAACTTCATGGTGGCATTGCCAAAGAACCTATGCGTTCACATTCGAATGTAATTGCGGCTAATTTATTTTCTATGTGAAGAGAAATGTAATTTAGAACTGCATTCAAATTCAGTCTGATTTCAATCAAAATTTATTGTTGATATCAGATGCTAAGCGAAAGTTTAATGAAAAAAGTGCTACTGCGTCATAAACGGTGTAAATTGCACTTTTACAATCAAAACTTAAGTCGTTTCTGTTTCAATTGCCATTCAGAGCACTCTAGAATTAGAACAAAATCATAAAATAGCAACCAATTTATTGTTTTCACTGTGCAATACCGAGAAATAAGGCTTTTTGTTAGTAGTTCAATCAAATTTTATTCGCTCATAATTTTAATTAGTAATTGTCTTAAAGTTGGCAATAAAAGGTAACCACATCCGTCTTCCACACTTCAGCGCAAAATTAAACGAGCTTTATCTTAGCTATTAAGACACGTTTAAGAAAGAAGGCGATAGGTGATGTGTTCGTTCAGTGAGTTAGAAAATATTTAGTCGGCTCTAAAGATAGAAAAAGTGTCGACATCTTAAGATCCAAACGCGGCGCCATTCCGATTCATCCGTTTGCGATAATGACGGTCGTAATTTCGCTTTGTTCTCGTTTCGTTTCCCGCGATCCGCGGAAGGGGCACGTTGCTAATTTTGATAATTGCTCGTTAATTACGAATTAGCCTAACATCATAAAATTAACGCGCTTAATTTCCAACTTGTTTCTCGGCCATATATTTTTTCTCTTTTCTCTGAAGACCGGCTACGAATTGGAGCACAACATTGTTACATGGATTCCCACTCGAAATGCAATGAAATAAAATATTAAATTTGATAGAAATTTTAAACATAAACTCAATTTTAAGAACTAGTATAGACAAATATAAAGTAGTAAAAAAATATAAGAACAATTGTTTCATCAATTAATACCGTGTTAAATTTATTTACTAATTGAAAATTCAGTTTTGTTCGATTGAAAAATTGATATCAAGTTTCTATAACATTTTTTTTCGATTCATTATGTCTTTAAAATAAGCTTTTTCTCAATGTTTTATTACTTGTACTCTGCACTGATTAATACTATTGCATACATCAGCCAATGTCACCTGCTCTACATTTGGGGTTAATCTGAAACTCTCCTTCTTTTACATCATTAGCAACTAATTCTATCCTACCGGATACGATGAGATAATACAAGACATGCACTAATGGTGTTTACTTGCATTAATTGTCTTCCTAGCGAACTTTTATTGTTCGTAACGTTAATTATCAACGTGTTTTTTTTATCTTTACGTAACGTCATTACAAGGCGTTGCAGTACAGATGCGAGATAGAAACATCGCACATGTGCATCGTGAACATCTTCCGCGTGATTTTCCACACATATAACAACAGAAAAGTGAATTATAGCATGTTTCATGATCTTATAATTTTCTCATAAAGTCATGCACGTGTGAGGTAAAATATCGGTGTGTGGTAATTGCAATGGTAATGTATAAATGTTCATCTAACTCATGGGAATCTTAAAATTGAATTAACAGTGCATAAAAATTATTTTAACTTAATTATAATTGATTCTATTCCCAAAGAAATATTTCATCGTTATCTTTGACAGTTTACTCTAAGATAATGTTCCCATCAATCATACATTCAGTATTTTATCAAAAAAAAAGAAATCCTAAACAATTTATTTACCATTTATATTTAAAAGTTTAATTAAAATTTTGAGCATGTAATAACCCGTCGCGGTAATTTTCATTCTCGTGGTTTTCAGTTACCTAACTAGCCAGAACATCCTAGCGTGAAAGAAAAAACATCGGCGTATACCCGTGGAAACTCGCGCAGCACGAAATTAATAAACTAATAACGTTGAATAAGTCCCCTTAGACTATGAATGGAAAAAGTAGCGCATAATCTGTACTATCTAACAAGTTGCAAAGCAAGTCTTATTAGAAGTTGGAAGCAAGTTGCAAGTTTATTTATTCTAGTTGCGATTTATGATTACGACTACATCCGACCGCGAACACCGCACATGAATGGAACGGCAGAGAGGATACGAACGAGAATGTGCATGAGAATGCGATTTTTAACCAGACTCGAGGCGATAGGAACAAGAACAACTACTACAAGCAAACAAGCACCAGGTACAAGATTATCGGAGTATGTGGTTTGAAGTAGCCGAGCTGGCGAAGAAGAAACGCCACATAACTGTATCATATCGTGCTCAGGTGCACTGCGCGCTGTGCTTCGGAGATATAATCGTATAGAAAATGATAAAAAGTGCACTAATTTGCCTGGTGAGAAATTTAGCTATAGTAAAATTCATGATTATCTGAATTTTATTTCCGTTCATATTTAAAACAATCTGCATAAATTATGATGCAATCGATGTCTCATTAAGCGCATCCTGCATATGTGACGTTCATAACTGTTCTCAGTTGCCATGTGCAATATGCATAGATATTATATATTCATGCATATATTAAACCGTACGCGCATATTTTCATCCATTTCAAATATTTCGCTTGTGTGTTCAACTATTCAACGCATCACTTAACGATTTTCTCGGCGAGTAAGCACCTATAATCCTGTTTTGTCTTGGCGTGATTCAAGATGGCGCATTTTTAAGAAAAGACCGTTTCGAATGCTTTCATTCACGTTAGTCTTGAGTCGGTGATTCTTTCGACACACGTTATCCTTTCTGTTAGTTTTGATTTTCATTTCTATTCGGGGTTATGCACAATGCAGATAATGGCGCAATGGCGGGTGAGCGCATGCCGTTACGCTTATTATCACGCGTGCGTTTGAAAAGAATTTATTTATTGAAAATGCCGCAACGGTGCGACGTGGCGGTACGTTAGCGAGTGCATAATGCACGCGCGCAGGATCAATGAAATCAATGTCGGTTTGTTCGCTTGACTGCACGAATAGCGAAATGCTTACAATTCGCGAATAGAATCGAATTTACTGTTGCGTTAAACATACAGTGATAATTCATTGAAATTGAATTTCTGGATTAATTTATCAAATATTTATTGTGAAAATATAACCGGATTTTATATTTTCAAAAATGTAAAAAATCATGAAAAATAACAGAAAATAGTTTTATATTTTTATATTTTCCCAGCGAATATTATGTGGGATTTATATAAATATAAAACAATTTTCAATATAACTGTTTCCAGCGCTACTTTTTCAAGAATAGTTTTATTTATTTTCATTTGTTTTTTTTTTCTTTAATTTTTCTTCCTTTTGTTTGTGCTCAAAACGCCGCCGACATTTGCATAATCGTCCCTATTATTTAATGCCTCTATAAACTCTTATAAAAAACCGCCTGGAGCCTAATTAGCCATCACTTTTTTGCGTGTTAATTTCCTTTTTGCTCCTAATGCAAAACGCGAACACAGAATCACGATGTATGTGTTTACGAGTATTATGGTAACGAGTAAAGTGCAAATAAATACGGAAGTCGCAAAGTCCGTTGCTTGGTACGTGGATGCGGCGCGGTTGTAGGATGAGAAAATAACGTAATGAAAAAATGTGTATGTGTGCTGGTAATTAGCATTCGCGTTTAATTAATGCACTCAACACAAACGCATACAGGCAAATAAACATTAAGTAGGTATGTGATTTTTGTTGTGAGTTGTAATTCAAGTGCAACTGTAAATCGTAAATTCAACGTGTTGGATTATGCAATAGTTTTACTTAAACTTAAACTTAAACTTAAAGTAAAACCACAATAACATTGTATACGATGAACGTATAAAATAAACTTGGTATCAAGTTTCAATGTTAATATTTTATTTCAAGGTAGAGACGATACTTTGTTTATAATTTACATCGTCATTAGTATAAAAAATTTAATTATAGTTGTTTTTAATATTATAATGTTATGTTGCATCTTTACCTTGACTTAATTATGTTGATGAAATTAACGTTTTGTTTAAAGATGCGCACATAAAAATCGATTTATTAGTTTAATTAATATGTTTGCTTGGTAATCCAATAGGTTTAAGGCAAATTGCTTTAATCTGCTCACTTTATAATATTTTGATGCAAATTATATTGAGCTTGGATGCAATTTGCTTAGAGTTTGTTTAATTAATATAACTTTAATTTAAAGCACAACTTTTATGTGCGCATGAGGCACATCCGCGACGCGCGCACGCGTTGAACTCGCCCGAGAAACGGTCGGCGAATGACTGACTATGGCTTAACATTATTCGACTTGACTAAGCGACTTGACGAAGAACTTGACTTAGTGGTGGAAATTATGAAAACAATAAATTCAAAATATCATTTCTTAAGTTTCCGAAAGCAATTTCTAAATTAGCATATGTTTTTAGTCATTTTAAATCATTTTAATGCATAAATCGGTAAATTTTCTTCTTTTTTACTTTCTGTTGCGTAAATAAATTGATATCCTTAAGAGAACTTATAGGCAGCATGTAATAAACATTTCCTTTTAAAAACAAAAGACATTATAGATATTATATTATTCTATTCGTACATTCACATATAACTACTTTTCCGTACACTCTAAAATTCATTCACTGCTTAGTTGAATTTTTACTTTTGTCGTTTGAAAGTAATAAAGTAAATTTCCAAACAACTTTATGACTTCTTGAAAACAAAACAATACTTATTTTATATGTAGTGTATAGATATTTCTTTAATTGTAATTAATTTTAAACATAAACTAAAGGCGTACTTTATTTATGTATGTATCTTGCATACTTTTACTTATGCGAACATTCCAAACTCACTGTTTGCAGTACGTGTGCATATTGACTGTCGATGATCTGTCGATGGTAAAGATGATGGTTCTGTTGGTTCATCGAACGACCCCGGTCTTATACGAACGTTGAACCGCCATTCTCATGAATTGTGCATGAAAAATAAAACAATTTCTTTCAAAAACGCAAATTATTACGTAATATCAAAGCCGAAAATCATCGGATCATTAATATTACCTCAGAAAAACTACAAAAAAGATGCTGAAAATATTTATTGTGAGAAATCATTTGTGTGACGTTCAATCATTCATAAAATACGCAAATACTTACATCATCGAATACAATTTTATACCTTTTAGGATTTCAATGGTATTATAGATTCGTTATGCACGAGTTAAAATGGTTAATAAGAAAATTTCATTACAAAAAATTTGTAATGGTGGTATCATTGCTTAACTCGCTCAATCGAGCGGTGTATAGGTTTGATGACTTCCATAATCGACGTGTTTTTGTATTCGATTTCGATAGGCGTGTACTTCCACCACAGCACCGCTTCCACTCATTATACATTCTTGTTTACAGTTTTCTTGGGTCGCGTTGCGACTCATGGACAACTTGGAAGTAACGAAAGGCATGTTGAAATCATTTGAGTTGGCCATAGCATTGCCAGCGGATGGAGAGTTTGGAAGTGTTGGAACTGTTGGTAGGTTCGGAAGCCTTGAGTCGAGCGCATTGGAATTCGTTCGATCCGATAAACGAACGGTGCACCGTGTACGCGGCGGTGTGCCGCATCTGAGGTAGGTAATAAACGAGTTCTTCGCCTTCCTCGTACGTGCCGCGGGAAGTCGCCGAAGACCTCGACGGAAAACTGCCGCTTCTCGCAGGGACGCAGCGTGTCGCTGACGGCAACCGCTGTTTTACGTTCCACTCTGACTTCCTCAATTTCAAAGCTCCATATGATGTAACCTATTTATTATTAAATTTATATTAATTTTAGAAATGAAAAATCCATCAGGAGACGATGAAAAGTTCACGTATCAATCGCAACGTGACACTTTTGAAGTTCCATTACGTTAGTGGTTAAGAGGATAACCGCATCAAAGGTTGAATGGTGGCTTTTGAAACCGCCTCCGCCGCGAAACTGTCACCCTGCGTTCAAAACGCGGCATATGGCGTGGCATTCACAATGAACCCGAACCCAAAGGGTTCGCGTCAACTATGTAGGTAAACACGCTCCAAACACTGCGAGGCTAAACGTTCGATTCTCAGCACACTTTGTAGTTGTATATACGTAAATTTGTGCACGGAGACGCATTATAAACTACAAAGCAGGAAACTCCAAACTTTGAAATTCGACCCTGCTGGAATATGCATGCAGCTTCCGAACCACGAGTTAGGGAAGACAACATCCGCTTATAAATAAACAACAACAACGCAACTGAAATTCTCGGTTAACAACAACCCTGGTTTGGGAACTTCCCGGGTACGCAATAGATAAATTATTAATCCGTAAGCTCAGTGATGAAGGAATGACGTGGGTTGGTTATGATTATGATAGGTTAGCAACATTACCGCGAATTCTGCTGGCAATTATTTTATTTCAACTTTTGTTTGCGACGTGCTGGTACTTTTTTCAATTGTAAAACGGCTAGCTTTGGAATGGTTTTGAGCATGGTGCGGAAAATTTAGCGCTACGCCTGAACAAATGAATAATGCATGAAACGTTTACGTAGGTTTACAATTCGGGCGATTTGGGAGCTGGAGCTTTGAAGACGACTGAGCATTGTCACGACCACGGCGCCCGAACGGATATTATACTAATTTAGCGTTTTACTCAATTTGGCAAACCTCGAAACAAAATTATACAGAGTGTGATTATAATATTACAATTAAACTTTGTACACTAATATCATTATTTCAACGATATGATTGTTAATGAGATTTTATTCATGCTACGTGTAATTGTTACCGGTATTTACTTTCAAGTAAGCACTGTCAACGTATCGTCCGGAATAATAATAATTGCTATCCATTGTCTGGCAGACGGGTGGCATTGAGCCCCGACTACAAATTGTATAATCACACCTTGTGATGTGCAGGTGGTTACGCGTGCGAGTATGTCCCGTTTGGTAGACTTTTAAGGAAATTATCAAAACGATTGAAGTGGCACGTGCTCAGCGAACGCGAGGCGAACACAAAACAATTTCGACACGATTAAAGACAATTAATGTGGAAGTACAAGAACTCCGTATTAAATTATTATTGTTGAAGAGGTTGTCACGTAGCGGCTCGAAGGCTCAAAGCATTAACACCTTCAAGGTATATAATATCAATTATAATAACGTTTTTTGACAGTGGAAATTCTAACTTTGATCCGGTATAAATATCAATTTTTTAGGTCAAAGGGATTAATCAATTTATTGAAAAACGGGATCGCAAATCAATTAAAACAATAATTCGTTTAAGTTTTACCACCGCTCCCGATTCATGTTAAACGTAGTTTTTTTTTTCTGTCCCACACTGGCATCCGCATTGTGTGCGGCAATGGTCGATAGCCGCCTCCGCGCGCAGCGACCTGTTACGGCCCCTGCCGACAATGCGTTCTTTGTCCATCGTGCATGTGCGGCGGCGGGTCGGCGGCGGCGTTGGCATCGTTCCTTTCGCACGGCGGCGTCGACAGTGCCGTGCCAGCGAGGACACCGTGCGGGTGGCTCGTCCTGCTTGCCAGTTAGCTGGGTGTGTGCGTGTGTACACCGTCGGCGCGCAACAAATACGCCAACGTCATTGCCGCCGCCACCGCCACCATCCAACCCATCGCCAAACGGCGAAATTTCTGTGATGTGCGGATCGTCCCTAATTCCAACATTCTGCACACAGCGCACAGTCTTCCCCTTAAAACAAATCACTCGCGATGTGAGTAAATAAAAGTGGACGGTATAATAGCACTGGTATTTGGAAAAAGGATTATATTGAGTCGGAAAACTTATTTTGGCAAATTCCTCACCGAATTTTCAAATTGGAATTTTAGAAAATCGGACACGGAGTAGTTTATAGTCAACTGGTATTCTACAAGTCCCGGAATAACTTGAAAATTCTTAAATTTTAAAGGTAATTCCACAAATGTGTTTTTGTATAAATATTTAGCGTATTTGATGTGTGTAAGAATATTTAAGGGTTAATAAGAATGAAAGGGTTCGGTGTTGGTTCGGTTCGCTTCGGGTAGTACGTCGCGCGTGCCGAAAAAGCGAAGCACTTGGCTTGCTCTTCCGAAATACACGATTTATTGATTTTTCCGTGCCGACACGCCGCCGCTCGTCGTCGCCGCCTGCCTGCCGCCCACGCGCAGCGCTCGTTTTCGCGTGAGCGTGTTTGCCGCGTTCCACTAGCGGCGACATCCAAGAGGGATGGTGGATGGCGTCGTCGGGATGTTTACTGCTTGCTCTCAGCGGGACGAAAAACAGCCGTGACATGAAAATGAGGCTGCCGTCAGACGCATGCATATGTTACGTACGACATGACGAAAAAGTCGTTGTGGGATGGGAAAAAGGATGAGAAATATGCAAATAACTTAACCCTCTTTTCGCATGTTTCGGATGGATGGCAGGTTGCGAGACGAATGTGTGACGTGGCCCAAATTTAGAGCGAATTGAAGTTTGTTGCTTGTTGCATATTTCAACATGTCTCGAGTTATTTTTATACACGAAAAGTGCAGAGTTTTAAATTTTAAATAACTATTTACGCGGAACGCGCTTAAAAGCTCATTTTGAATGGGTGAATTTAAAAATCTACGATGCTGCTTTTAGTACCAAATTCAAATCCTCGCAATGTTTCTTTTCTTCTCCGTGGAATTTAGAGCGAAGTCTCATTAACATGAAAATTTAATTATCTACAAGGCATTGCAAGCCTTCACACCCTACAGAAATTTCGTCCTTTCTGTTTCACGCGTTCCTTCTTAGCGTAGTCTATTCACATCATTGAAAACGTGCACGGATATAAAATTCAACTTTCGCACAACGACCACTCATTGATTTTTTGTATTCGTCATTTTATCCGTCTTTTCGCAAGCTTTTAAAACTTTTTATCATCTAGGCCTCTAAAATATAATAAAATCGAAGATATTTCAAAGACACAGGATCTTTTTTGATGTCTAAAGTGCTTTCCGGATTATTGCAGTATTTTCTTGATCTGTTTTGAACTAAAACATAAAGAATATAGTAGAATCAATATAAACATGGAGCAACAACAGGATTAGTATTCAAGCAGATTAATAGCAAGAAATTTATAAATAATCCTTAATGTAAATTTTGTTCTTGAATGCGCAAACATTAATGCTAAGTTGAAAAGTAAACAATGCGACAAAAAGTAGGTAGGTAGTAAAAAAAGAAAAGAAAAAAGGAAGAATAGATAATAAAAGGTCAACTCCATTAAGTAAGTAATCAGGATATTTGCTCAGTTAGAAAAGTTTTCAATCGGAAGTAAAAATTTAAACGATTAATGAAGGAATGAACAACGAATTTTTAATTAATTGATTTATTGATTACTAAATACATTATTTAACATCAACCTGATTACTCTGCCAACTTTGTTGTTACTTTTTATTGCGTTTAATTTAAGAAACTAGGTCATTTTTGTTTACATGATCCACACTTAATTTTGATTTCGAACTTACTACCAAAGACTATGCCAATAAAAATCTGTTGCATGGCTCGTACAGGAAGAGGAATTTCGACTGATTGAAACATTCTCGTCGCGTTGAGGCCGCAATCAGTCGCGGACTAGCGACGACAGTTCCGCTCCGGGTTTCCCTTTTGAGCGCATGAATGAATCACGAATCGTCAGGTGGGTGGCGGGTAGGTTTTGGCGGACTGTGGAGCGGAGACGCCCGCCCGGTTATCGATCCTTGCGACGCGATGTCGCCGCCAACTCGCCGCCCGCGTGCCAGTTTCGCCTCAGTCCATGGGACGATTCATGAATAACATTAGCGAAAACCTATCCAGGCTAATTTATACATTCGCCCACGGCGGAACCCGGAAGGGTCGCGATGTGAATCGTTCGAAACGATTGGATGCGGTCAGTGTGGTCATTGATAGATTTTAACACCAGTGCAATTTGGGTAATTTCAATGATAAGTCAATATCAAAAGTGGGTTCTATATAATTTACAAAGTAAATACATAGTTTGGATCATGTATGAGTGAGTTATTGATACGCTTGCTAATGTAACACCTATCTACAAATAATGAAAGCTCATTCATCACATAATGTATGATAGTGTGATTAATCTAAACGTCCGTATTGCTTATTTCCCTCTATCATACCGGTAGCCCCCTTGCACATTACCGATAGAGTCAATCACATCTTTAATTAATAAACGAGCGTCGCATTCCAGCGCTCATGTTTAATGCAATTCTAATCATATCGTTGGAGTACGAGTGTAATCACGATTGCCGCAATCGGTGATTATTCAAATGCGGTTTCTTGTTTACACATTTATCGATTGCGATTGTTTCCTCTTCTACACAATTCGTATTATTAAGAGGCACACATTCCTAGTCAATTTCGCTGCACGATCGCAAAGAATGAAATCGAAATTTATTCCGAATGTGAGTACGGTTTTAATTCAAGCCGTTCCATTCAAAAACAATTGCCTGCTCATTTCATAACAGATCAATCTAATGTAATACAATTGTGTTTTCAAACAGGACACGTTTTATCTATCATTGGTTATTATTAACCAACATAAATACTATAAATAAATAAGCACATCATTGCTTCATGTTACACAATGGAATATAATCGTATATAAAATGCGTATAATGGTGAATGAGTGTAGACAACTCGTTGCACACTGTGCATGGTATAAAATGACATTTTATATGCGGATCATTACTATCGTTACGATCGCAACATTGCAACCGTAACAACATTCGTGTTTTATTTCAAGCATAAAAAGTTGCATACGTTAAAAGTACACTTCATGCCAGCGGACGATTTATTTTCATTTATAGGTATTAAATTCCATCCGGCAGCAATTTTTTAAAACCCACCCGTCTGGCTATGACCTACAAACTTGTATTTATAGTCTTCACCACTTTTCTGGTGCAGCCTGCTCACTTCTTGAATTTTCATCCACTCGTATTCATTTATTCAGGACGTGAGGCGAAGTAACTTATCTTTGTTATGGCTATGGTACTCATCGCATTCTCAAAACGTCCGATGTCGTCTAAAACAAAAGAATATTTGCACGACTCACATGGACATCGAAAGGATAAGTTAATAATAAAAATTTATAGCGTTCTCAATGGTTGAACCCGATGGCAGTAATAGCTTTATTATTTTTTTCTGTGGACTTTGCTATCAATAGTTTTGTCATTAATTTTGGCTGGGGTAACTATAAACAAATAAATGGTTATTATCTAAATTCCATGACATGAAAACGTAATGATTGCTCATTGATATTGCGATATTCGTTTAAACTGATGTTCGCTTTTTGCTCGAGACATCAAACATAAATTATTTCCATCCCGTTTCGCCGTGTACGAATCGAATGCCGCTGGCGCAGAATCTATAACATGATCTCGATAACGAGATAAAAACAAGCAATAACAGCGTTTCGCGCTTGTGGTTCACCCATTTCATGCACACGGAAACATAAATAATTTGCTTCAACCGCAAACGGTAGACGAGTTAGCGCACATCATCCCCAAATAAGTGGGTGGTACAGGGAAGTGGACGAGTAAACATCGATGCGAGCTTTTCACGAATCAAAGCTCGCGGGGTTTAAAAGCCTCCAGCGAGTTTGCGTCAAGCACGTGCACGGAGCGCATTAGATCACGCCGGAAAATTGGAAAAACTCGGGACGTCTAATCAATACCGGTGCAGATTTATCAGCTTAATACAGCTTGTTGAAGGTTTTCATAAAGTGAAACAGACATTAATAAATATATATTCGGTAAATATAGGCTTTGTTGTGGTTTATTGTATTTTATAAATGAGTATTAATGTAAATTAATTTTATTATCAAACGAAAATTATGATGAATTATATTATTACTCTATTTATTTAATTTATTAAATTTAATTTCAATATTTAGTAAACTTTGATAAATTAAAGTTTTTGGCGCCCACTCATAACATTATGATTTAATGTATCATTGAGGTTGTTGAAACAAGCACTAAAAACAAGTTATGAAATTTTCTCGTTATCCTCAGTTTTCCAATCTGCTCGTCGTCGGGTTTTTCTCATTTTCTATCTGGGTGAACGCGCGAATGCGTCATGCGGCACGTTTTTCTGCTTTTACTGTGCCTTTTTCTGAGTGTTACCTATTGTATTTATATTACCCACTCTGCTTGCTTTATTTTCTCATATTTTCAGTTTTCCGGCTTGTTTTGTTGGTTTCCTTTCTTGTGATAACTCAACGTCAAAGAATGTCACCGAAATTAGACGACATGCTGACAACATAATTCCACCAATTATTTTCATTCGCGTTACTTTTTTCATGACGTTTTCTCTTGTGCTTCCGCAAAGGAACATGTTTATTTGCTTCAGTTTGCAAACAGAGGTTGAGAGTTAAAAAGTATATCGCAGCACAATCATTTTATTTCTGCGTCGTTTTAACAACATGGCAGATTACTTTTCTGCTTTTACCTGCGTGATGTTTGTGTTTGCTTTGTGTTCAGTTTATAAAAGAATCATTATGAAGTAAATGTTCTGGTATAACTTCTGAATTTCTTTTATAAAATTTGCTCTACGGCATTTTACGTGCCAAAAATTTTATTTATTAATTTTATAATACAAACAGTTTACGTTTACAAATTATTAATAATCACGCATTTAGTAATGTCAACAATTTTGATGCAATTTTTCAAGCAATATTCAGATTATTCTAGCAGATATAACTTACAGAATGAAAAGTAAGGGTTAATCAATTAAGTTTATTTTATACATTATAAAATTATTCTTAAGCCAAACGAACCCTCGACTGTGAGTTACTTATATATTAATTTCTAATAAATCGATGCGTATTTTAATTATTAAGTAATACACGTACTCACTAAATAAATAATATAAAAAATTTGCATTGTTTAGTGTAAATTGAATTTTGATTGCGCTTTCATTTGCAGGCGTACTCTCGAATATCAAATTGAAATATTGGCACAATGAAGCTCGGCATGTGGTTAAACGATCGCGAGCAGCTGCGTCAGGAGGGCCTTGTTCTCTTCAGCAAATTGATTCGCACCAAGAATGTCGAGACTTTACAAGATCGCACAGGCCCCCCACGGCATGGCGATGAACGAAAAATTAAACTAACCGTAAGCCAATAATTGTTATTAATACATTGAATTGCATAATTGTGTATTTTATTTAATCTTTTCAGAAATGTCTGACGACATTAGATTTAACATCCCTGGGTGTCGGCAGTTGTGTGGGCACAGGAATGTATTTAGTAGCTGGTATGGTTGCGCGCACAGTAGCCGGACCCGGGGTTGTTTTCAGTTTCATCATTGCAGCTGTAGCCAGTATTTTCTCAGGTAAAACACCATTTTAAAACAATACTTTTTAATTTGCTTTAGTAAATAAATATAAAAAGTAATTTTAGCATGTTGCGGCATTTGGTTTTAATTGTTATAAATTTAGATAAATATCTACAAGTATTTTAAACGATTATGTTACGTATACATTTTTTTTTTGATTTAGTATGTAAATATGCAAACACGGTGAGGACTATAACAAACTTTTAGCAGATTTTCAACGCGCTATAAAAATAATTTACGTTATTCGTGAATTTGTGAGCATAAAGCACTGCACCCTTCTATTGTGTTTGCTCGCACTGGCCGGTATACATTAGGGATATGCAGAATAAACCATTATAAACATAATTTTCATTTTGTTCGCACAACTTAACCCACCTGGGAATAATCCGTCCTATGGGTTTTCCAACGTTCAGTTTATTTTTCGTTTCGTATGAAGCTCCAGGTTTATCCCATTACTGGCGTACAAAGCCTTTAATACTTTCATTTTATTGTTATACAATTTTGTAAATGTCATATGAATAATTTGTCTTGTTTAGGAATATATGAAAATTTATCACACTTGCGTTTGAAACACATTATATAAAACGTGGAATCTTCTACTTCTGCTTTTGTTGAATGCGTTATTGAAAGTAACGTTCTGCTTCTGTTTCCAGGTGCCTGTTATGCAGAGTTTGGTGTTCGTGTACCACACACAACAGGCTCAGCGTACATGTACTCATATGTGACAGTCGGCGAGTTTATCGCCTTTGTGATTGGATGGAACATGATATTGGAGTACCTGATTGGTACAAGTGCATGCGCTTGTGCACTGAGCGCTTGTTTTGATGCGTTATCTAACGGCGCAATCTCAGCAGGCCTCGTCAGCAATGTGGGCACATTATTTGGAGGTCAGAACACGGTTCTATATAATGTTGTAGGTGATCGGCAACTACTTTACTAAATATGAAATGCACTTTTAGACAGACCTCCGGATTTTGTCGCTTTTGGGATCACACTCCTGATGATGTTGCTCATGGCTGCCGGAGTGAAGAAGTCCCTGATCTTCAACAATGTTTTGAACGCCATTAATTTAGCGATTTGGGTGTTTGTGATGACAGCGGGTCTGTTTTATGTGAATACGGACAATTGGACGCAACACCAAGGGTTTTTACCATTCGGCTGGTCCGGGGTATTTACTGGTGCTGCCACCTGCTTCTACGCATTCATTGGCTTTGACATTATTGCTACCACCGGCGAAGAAGCTACCAATCCTAAACGTTCCATTCCATTGGCCATCGTTTCCAGTCTGTGTATTATCCTCATCGCGTATGTTTCCTCCAGTATGATGCTCACACTCATAGTACCCTATGATCAGGTAGATCCAGACTCTGCTCTAGTAGAGATGTTTGGACAAGTGGGCGCTTACAAATGCAAATATATAGTTGCTGTGGGGGCCCTTGCTGGACTTACTGTGAGCATGTTCGGATCCATGTTTCCAATGCCAAGGATCCTATATGCGATGGCCTCAGACGGGTTAATCTTCCGTCTGTTTGCTCAGGTTTGGCCTAGTACGGGAACACCCGCACTAGCGACATTCATCAGTGGACTCTGTGCTGCTTTAGCGGCGCTAGTAATCAGTTTGGAGATTCTTGTTGAGATGATGTCTATCGGCACACTCTTAGCCTACACATTAGTGAGCACATGCGTTCTCATCCTAAGATATCAACCACATTCCACTAACCTTGTTGAACTCCTGCCGCAAAGTCTACGTACACCAATCAAGGGATCTCCTAGTAAAGACCCGGTTGGCGGTGCGGGTGCTAGTGGTACTACACCAAATGGACAACAATATGGAAATAATTTGCAACCGAATATGGGCAGTATGCCACATATTCCAGCCCCATCAGTATCACCCATTCCGCAACAACCCACTCAAAGGGTGATGGTGAGGCGTGTGACACGGAGTTCACCTGATAGCGATGATACTTTCCCTGGAGACGAACAAGAGGAAGAGTTTTCTATTCGTGATGATCAATTTTTGGTCTCAGATCGAACCGAGAACAAGTTTTACGGCACTGTTCATGGAACAAGTGGCACGACTACTACCACAGGTGTGGTGGGTTCTACAGTAGGGCCTAGTTTAGGTTATATAGGTCGTAGGTTACAAGTAAATATTTACTAAACATTAAAATTGTATTTTATACTATTTTGACTTAATTCTAGGCAGCAACATATCTATGCCCGGCGATCTTTCCATGGGTAGACACCGGGCCGGCAACTGAAGAGTCTGGAATGTTTGTGATGAAACTAGTAGGCATTCTTTTTGTGCTCATCATCATTTTTGATCTGATTATTGTATGCGGCATGCATAACATGACCGGTGCGACGACGTTTTTTATGTTTCTATTTTTGATTGCCATCGTGGCCATTTTGTTGGTCATATCACGAAAACCCCAAAATAGGTAATTGGCAATTTACATTTACTCTTTCAAATGTAACTAATATTGAAATTATATAATTTCAGGAATAGTTTAATGTTTATGACACCTGGTTTACCATTCGTGCCCGCGATTGCCATCACAGTCAACATTTATTTAATTTTCAAACTGTCTATTTTGACATTGGTACGATTCACGATTTGGATGACGCTGGGCTTCTTAATGTATTTCTACTACGGAATTAAGAACAGTACGTTAGAAGAAGGCTCTGGCGAAACAGATCACAATAACATTGAGTTGACTGTCACCGACATGGAGAAACCAAAATATTCGCCAGCATCACAAGGACATTACAATGCGGCTTGCGATACTAACATTTACAGGTGAGTTGTGGATTATTAAATAAATTAATCGGGTATTTATGTCTTATATTTATGTTTAGTCAAGGGCAACCGACGTACGATTGGGATCCAAAATCTGCGTGGGACACCGATTCTGCTTGGGGAGCAGCCCCTACTAGTGGTACCACGAATCAATACCAAGTCGAGCAACAATACAACATGTCTACGAACAACACTCGTTCGGTGATTAACAAGCCAACTTCCGGGACCACTGCGGCTTCCGGAGTTGGCTCCACCTCTACATCTACCTCTGGCACGGTGGGCAGCACCATGTTTGTCAGTGATCCTTTGGCATTCCCTTCGTGGGACGACTAAATCACGAATCTACAAAATATGACGCACTTGATACTCAAACGGGCAATATCCTTTCTCCATTTAACGATAAAAACATTTATATAGATAGCAGGAAATTTGCAATTGTTGTTTGTTATTAAATAATTACATTTATTACGACGAGACTTGAAACGGACAAGGTATGCAGGGATTTAAACGACAAACGATCGGCCATGTTTACACATGGCGACGAGACTATTTAGACACAAATGAGATCGAGCGGTGCTTAGGTATTTACTATATATTTAGATACCAAAAGACATTTACGTCGTATAATTTCCAAACGTTTTTTACATTCAGGTTAAACGCACAGCCATGTGAAACCGTTTTTTGTAGTGTGGCCAGCGGAGTGCACAAGATGGCCGTCGAGATTGCGCCCACTCCAGCTCCTTGTTTTCTGTCATTTCTTCTAGTTAGGAACTTGAATGGTTGATAAACTAAGCGAATATTAAAACATGTTGACTAATGATGATTACGATGATGATATAAATGTAAATTACTCTAATTCTAAGCAGAAATATAAGATAATGATGACGATTTCATGAAAAAGTGTATAAAGTAAACGGAACAAATGTGATTCGATGTTTTTCACGTCTCTCTTATAACATATACATCTCTTATATAAATATTTAACACACTCATTCAAGAAATCCTATGGAAAAGTCATCGTTTGCATGCAAACTAATGTAAACCAACATACAACTCTTCGTAAATGTGTTTTCCATATTTTAAGACTACTTATTGTTATCATTAAGCTTTATAATCCTCTATACACTAACAAAAATCATAAATCCATTTCAAAACATGGACGTTAACATATTAAGACAATTATTGAATATTAATAGGACATTTTAACTTTTTTGACTTGACACTCCATGGTTGTTCAATGGTGTTAATTTAAATTTGTAAACAAAGTGTAAACAAACAAGCAAGTGTGTAGATTCTAATTGAATTGTATTAGAATCTACACTTTTGATTGTTTTGAATTTGCATTCTCATGGGTATTACGGGCAATACGATTTTGTGACTTCGTTTTCATGCGGTCGTAGCTAATTCTAGTATCAAACACCAACCAACTTCAACAAAAACGCAAACGCATGAAACGATTCGGTCACTTACGTAAACTGTACATAGAGATGAACGTACTTTACGTCGACGTTTATTATCAAAGTGCACTCGATTTTGAATGTCTGTATTTTGCCAATCACATGAATGTGAACTGTTATCTACTGTTCTATTTTTTCATCGTTAATCATTGTGCTAGGGCGTAATTCGACTCATAACTTATAAGTAAGCAGAAAAAGCAGATCAAGCAAAAACGCAGCGGACGAAGGCATACAATACAGATAATTATATTTGGTTAAGCGTTTAAATTATATCATAGATAAAGAAAGTTGTGACATATCACACGGGTGTCTTTGAATTAGTAAACATTCAAAACGTATGTTTTGATTTTTGCTAATGCGATGAAATTCGTAAAATTTGTACATACACCCTTGAGAAACTTCCGTGAATATTTTAGTAAATCAAAATTTCATTGCATTTTTATTAAGTGAACGTTTTAACTTCCAGCTTTTTATTCTGAACTTTTAACACATTTTTAAACAAACAAAATAAGATGAAATAAAACGTTTAACACACTATATTATTACGTCAGTGCCTGTTGAAAATATATAACGAGAAATGTGTAAAAATGAAACGGTTTACGATGAATTCTGATTGTGTACGTTGCTAAAACAGCCGAATAAAACGAAAAACTAACAAAAACGCAAAAGATCATTACTTGGTTCCCATCACGACGCATGTTATTGATGTGAGAGATTAATAGTGATGGTGAGATAAGTGAAAATAAATAAATGTATGTTAACGCAAAATAAACAAAATCCAAAAAAAAAACTGATATAAAAAAGTAAAATATTTAAAGAATATTAACGATGATACATATACATTGCATATAAATATGATGAATTATAAATATTATAAATATGAATATATTGTATTTATGAGATATTATTACGTTTTTTGGTGATCGATTGATTGTTTGATTCTATGATTGATTGACTTATTATCGACTTAACGGTAATGTAATATAATGTAAATTTTCAAAAATATTGTATGAATAAGTAAAAACTGTTCAGAGCAAACTAATAATTGAATGTTTACTTAATCCTGCCTTTAATATTTTTATTTATTCATTTTTAATTTGTTGAATTATTCCCTATTTTCGGCTTGATGATTCCTTGGGTCAACACCTTAATTGTTGATTCGAGGGTCGTTGGTTCAGTACCAAGGCCGTAGATTGTAGAGAGGTGGAGAAATGTGTGGGAAACCACATTAATAGAATCCTTAATTAATCATTAATTATTAATTATATTCATTTCGGTTAAATATCAGTTACAATAAGTTTTAATTGAATATTCATGCATATTCAGTTATGAAATTAATTTATTGAACTTACCTGAAGTTTAATTAGTTTCGACCCTGCTCATATAACAATTATAGACATGAAATTAATTGTTAAGTGCAATATTTTAAATTCTTTAATTGACTGTAAGAAATATACAATATGTCCAGTAATTGAAGCAACAAAAGTTTTCATATGGAGTGTCGAATAGTTTCAAATTATAAACATATTGCTTTGAAAAAATACTTTCCATACATAAATTAATTTTAAATTTCATTTTTAAAGCTTTAATAGTTTTAAAGTTTACATTTTTGTTTGTTCCCATTTAGTGGTTCCATATTTTTCAATTTATCATCGTAACCATTAGATTTCTTATTATTTTACTACTAATCAATTTTAGCTACTCAAGATTTTGTCTTGTTTTATTTAATTTATCACACCGAAAGATGGTGATGACACCAGCTACCTATTGTGTTACTATATCTACAGCATGATATTGGACGTTATACATATCAATTTTTACAATGGTGTCAAATAATTTGATAACTGATTGTTTTATTAACAAGCGATCTGCAGTGACACATTGATTTGCCTTGGATCAAGCATGCATATAAATTCGTTCATATAATTTCCTTTGATTGGTTGACATTGATTAATTTCACTACTCAAAAATATTTTCTATTTGACGCTTGTAGGTTTTTAAATTTGTTGCTATTTTGCACTGGGTCTTAAATTGACAATGAATTTTGAAGATCAGGTAATGTTGAAGTTGAAGATGAAGCACAAAGATGGCGGGGTATACATCATAAATCACATTTGCGTTAGGTATAATATAGAACAAGTTGTTTTGATGAGTTCAAGTCATTTTTTCCTATCAACCAACATATTTTGCTATTAACTTAGAATTCAATTTGAAAATGTTAAATTTCTTTTAGGTTTTCACAAGTATCACACATTTTTAACTTTAGGTTTAATTAACTTTACTGTACACTTAGTTTAATATACATTTGCCTACTTTTTTTATTTTTAGAGTCCACAATTATTCTTCTAAGTTGCAGACTTCATTGTAATTAGTTTAGAACCATTGTTTTAATTACACTAATAATACTTTTTTATCTGGCGTCATTTGCCACTCGAAATGTCCAGCGATTTACATCCGGTTGAGTCGCACGTCGCTGTCGTTATCTTGCAGATACTGGAAGATAGGGTTGAATGTGACGTTAGTTGCAAATTTTGTTTTGTCATCTAAAAAATAGGTTTCCATATCGCCTTTGCCCTTGACATTAATTGTCCCCCGACACGTGAGTGGATATCCTTTCTCCACCAATATTTCATAAACTTCTTTTGTTACCTAAGTCATAAACATAAACAAATCAACATTTAATAGATAACGCTCGCAGTGTAAATATAGTTAGAATTATTACGCGGCTTCATTTAAAAATGTTAATTTTTTATTTCTATTCTTCCCACATGGGAAATGTCCGTTTGGATTCCGAGTGATTTGTGAGTTGGAAGAAAATAACATCCAACAAATGAAAGAAAGTAATGAATTCGCCGAGTGAATTTACGACCTCTGAGATTTGATCAAACTACCAAGTATTTTCTGTTTCTCATCTGCTCTAATATGCTTTGGTTGTTCTGTGAGTTAGTGCGTGTTTTTGTAATTTTATAGTTGGGGTCTAGGGAGTTAACTCTTGGCACACTCACTTGTATCTTATCGACCACGCCAGTGCTGTCCATTCTGCTGGCGACGTTCACCGCATTGCCCCAGATGTCGTACTGCGGCTTTCGCGCCCCGATCACGCCCGCCACTACCGGCCCCACGTTGATGCCGATTCGAATGCGGAAATTATTAAAGGAGTGCTCGTTGACATTCGCAAGTTGCTCCTTTAAACGCAGCGCATAGTCCGCCATTGCTGTCACGTGCTTGAAATCCACCATGTCACAAGTTGCGGCGGTTAGTCCTATATATGTTCAAAGAAGTTGCTGTTATTTATAAATCGACCCTCGATCAAAAGCACTTTTCTTGCTTCCTGTGTTCACCCTACATCAATATGCGTCAATGTATAATACTTCTAGCAAACGTCTAATGTTTGAGAGATCGAATTATCATTGCCTTATTGACGATGACAGCACATAGGCCACGGGCGCAAATGGATGCGGATGATTGATTACGATGTCGTGTGGCTCTGACTCACCGGAGGCGGCCATGTAAGTTGAGCCGGTGGACTTGATCTTTTCGATGTACTTGAACGGCTCCTCGGAGAGCAGCTCGTCAAAGTCGGCGATGATCTCGTTCAGCAGCCGCAAACACTCCACGCCTTCGTTGTTACCCTCAAGCTCCACGTAGAATTCCGAGAAGTTTGGTATTGATGCAAACATCACGCACACGAAGTCGCATTGTTCATGATAGAGTTCCTAAATTCGATTATTTAGTTAACAATGCATCAACTTGAGTTCATCAAGTTTTACACGTGCTTAGATATTCAATAATTTGCTAATTATACTCACATCAACGTTTTTGTCAGGACTTAGAAAGTGTTCAGCTACATGAACAGGCAGTATATTTCCCAATAACTTCCGGTTGTACGCTTCCAAATGCTCCATGTCCTCTTTCTCTTCGGTGGCTTGCAACTTCCAGACAAAATCTAATCTATAAGTCGCTTCCGTTTGCTGCGCGTGCAAGATCAATGTGATCAGGAAGCCGATGGAAATGATCAAGTTCACGTACTTCTCGCTTAGTGTCTCTTCAGCGTGACCAACATGTCTGCACCAGACAAACAAACAAATTTAAACCGAAAGCAATTAATAACTTTGTATAATCAACTTACGCTTTACTTATTTGTTCGCTATAAGGAATGTAAATAATCAAATATCCTGCTAGGAGTAGAGTCAAAAAGATTGTTTTGACGATGTAAATCATCACTTGATAAACGGCGCATGCGATCATCGTCATTTGCACCATCACTAGACACATCTGTTTTAATTTAGAAATAATCATTTTAGTTTTAATTTCGCAATAAATCATTTTTATTATTTCCATTTTTGGATTTACGTTGTTGTGTTACAGATTTTATTGACAGGAAGTGGCATCATCAACTAATTGATAACACAACACGTGTATATCAAAAATGGAAATCAGTGATATCAGTGATAACGTTAACATAATAAAAACTAAAAATAAAAAGTTTTTAGTTGTGTACATTAGTAAATTGCTCGGAAATGCATTTACATGAAAGGTTTTTAAACTTCCGGAAATGCGCCAGGTTGCCATATGTGCGTCGCATAGTTTACTAACTTTCCTAATGTATCATGACGCCAACACAATTCACAATTCAACAAGAACCATGAATACTTTGCGCCACCATCATAAATTCATTAGGCAACCGGTTGAGCTTTTCCGCAATACAATTAATGTATGACATGAAATTTTAATTAAACTCACGTCCAGTATGTAATGTCTACCACAGGTTCCTGGCCCATTCAAGATGATGTAGCGATTAGAGATATTATTATTCTCCTCGGGTGTATCGAAGGGCACTGCAGTACGTTGTGCATAGGCAATTGTTTCATTAGCATCTGATTGGTGTTGTTGTTGCAGCAACGTGTCGTTTACTAATTGTAATTGCATTGGTTGTATGGTTTGATTGGAACATTTTACGAGATCAGTTATTGTGCACTGTAATGTAAAAAGTTCAAGTTGATAAAATAATTGAAACAATTGCATAAATACAGGGAAAAAAAGTTCATAAAACTTATGAAACAACAGTAAACTCGAAATAAAACGTGTTATATTCACGTTGCACGCTACAATTTAAACTTTTTGTGCTTCCTTTCCGAATACTCGCGGGTTTCTCTCGTGTTTTTGTACGTTTTTCATCCTTTTCACAAATTTCCTTCGCAATTGTAACGCCCCAATCGTGTATATAAACTCGTTACGAACTCGTAATGGTGTTGTTCGCGTTCCGCGCACGAATTTGCGTCGAGTTCGAGCCTGCGAACACCACAATTTCGATAATCTTCACTTATTTCCAAAAACCGCCGCCGAGCAAAGTCGAAGAGTTTAAAACACGAAGACGGTGAGATTGCAAAGTTGTAATTGAGAGCAAAACTACTCGATAGCCGTATAACGCGATTGGGGAAAGTTCACAATATTTACGGATTAAGAAAATTCATATCGCCTATAAAACTTTCCTTCCTAAGTTAATTCTGTACATTTTAGTTGCTTGTTATTAGTAAGTTCCAATTAAAATCTATCGACAAAAAGAAGGCACCCCAAAGGCATTAAGCATAACGTCATCTTTAATTTAAGTAAAACTTTGACACCAAGCAGAAAACAATTTAATTTTGATTGAAGAACAGTAAAACTCAACAACTAGTAATTGCTTTCATATACAATGTGTTTAAAATACAAGATTTCCAAGTTGTATCAAGGAAGAACATGAAATGTAATTTGGCTACTTTGTTATATTGTCCATGTCAAAGTCCAGGATCATTTTCTACTTATTTTCCACTTTCCAGTTTGCACAGTAAAGTGGTAACGATGAAAGTTGCAAAAGAAAACACTAACGAAAAGCAAGCAGGCAAGATGGATGAAACAGCTACATGCCTTTTAACGTTTTCATGCCCTGCGGTGTTTGGCGCAGTACGGGGCTTATATATACGGTTAAAAATCTAAAAGTTATATACGCCAGAGTGGATTGTTAGCATTGCTTACTTACCATCTGGAAGACGGGCAACGTGTAGATGAGGCAGACGACAATAAACGCCAGCGTTTGTGAGATGCGACGATTTGAGTGGATTTGTTTCGAAAAACGAACCAATTGTTCACAACTACCCTTTAAAAATAAAAACAAAAAAATTAAAATTTTTGTAAAAAACTAAAAACTAAAAATAAAATAAATCAGTTTACATACTTCTAGTGAGTGCATGGATACGATGAATGTAATAACTAATATCGCAACTCCAACTGGAAATACCAACGCGATGATGGAGATTTTACTGAAAATGGTAACATTATATTTTCATGAGAGTAATATTTTGACTCTGAAACAAGTTTGGAACTTACAAGCTCAACGCCAAAAACTGAACTAACACCATTGTTATGTAGCAAACTAACGAACACAAGAAGTAAAGATTCAACATACGATCCTTTTCCATCGTGTACTAAGAGACAAAGGAATCACAAACAAGCTTTAGTCACATATAGGTAGTAATATAATATAATATAAAAATATACAATGTGTATAGTAACCTTTCTTTCTTTCACTTTATCTTTGAATATGAGCAGTAACACTTGGCAATGCTCGTTTCGCAGGCGATCGATACTCCTCGCATCGATTGCACGCATCAGGTATTCGTTAACTTCGTCCTCGGGGTCTTTGAGATCAGGTGCTTCGGCGAAACCCAATCTAGCAAATCGTCCAATAAATATTACACGATTTATTGTCTTCCTTACCTTGATACACATTTATAAGCTATTAGCTATTAATTTATAGATGTCATCACAATTACCAAATACCTAATCAGATTAAATGAATTGGGAAGATAAATGGGAAATAACTTACTTCATGCTGCCAACACCGCCGACCCCGGTGCCTGCATGGCCCATCATCCGCATTTCCTTCGAAATGTTACCGCTGCTGAGCGGATAATGGTGAGGTGAGACAGTCGATCCGCCCGCCCCCAGCACAAAAAGAAGAGAAAACAATTACGATGTGAACAATATTTTATAACTTTTCAGTTCTCATCAAGTATTGTATTAATAGAAGCACGTGTTCTGTTGTCAAAGTTGCAAGTTTCATAGTTCTACATCTCCATGTTCATGTTAACAAGTTTATGCTATGCACATGAACGAGCAAGATATTCTTGGAATTCTAGTTCAAATGTCAGATTGAAATTGTCTATTTGTAATACAGATATACAAATAGAAATGGATGCTTAAGATTGAAGTCAAACATGAAGTTTTCGTCCCTTAAGAGCATCAAAACTTATATTAACTTATATCAACTTAAGACTTTAATTTAATACTTAGACGTGCCGGAAAGTTTACCGGATTGAGACTGATGCAGAGATGGGTAACGAAAGCTCGGTGAATGTGGTCGAGAGCAGACCTAATGCTGTGGTTAGGGTGTGGTTTAATGCGTGGTTCGACCCGCAGTTTATGAATAAGAGATCAGATCATAACAAATAAGCAAAAAAAGAAACGTAAATTGAAAAATATTAAGGTTCTGAAAGTCTATGTGTGATAAAATATTTAGAATTATTTAGGGTTTTAGAGAACATTTTTCATCGTTTTAGAGTTTAGTATTGTAAAACTTGATGTATTATAAATCCTGTAGAACTTCATGTCCAGGTTATCAAGTAAAATACTCGTAACTTGTAATTAGACTCGGGTATAATTAATTAAATTATTAATTAATATAAGAGGAATTTTTTTGTAAAATTGGTAAAACTGAATTGATTAGGTTCATATTCTTTTGATATTTATTATTGTTAATTTTAATTAACCAAAAACAGATAAATTTCCTTTGAAAAATGCAAATTAGAGTCTACTTTTCCAGATATTCAAATCAGGATACTTATTATGCAGGAAGATGATGCAAAAAATATTAGATTAAGGTCTTTGTTTTTACACCGCGCTGACTATTGAACTTTACATAAAATTTTATAGGTAATAGCATCATATAAATCAAATTAATCATAGAAAATCCACTTACTCCTCGATAAGAAGACGCCACGATAAGATAGGTTTCGATGTTGTGGTCCTTGAGATACGAGTTGCGCTCACCTCCATGACCCGGCTCCACCTCATAATCACGATTCAAATATTCTAACGTTTCCTTTGTAATATGAACTCTCCTTCAAAACAAAGCAAAACAAGATTTTCATTATAGCACCCGATTAAAATCGTTTATTTCTTTAATATCTAGTAGTAATGTTGATTGCAAAAGCCTGATTTATGACCAGCATAAATGTATTAATGGTGGAAGCACCGGCCACTAATTGATATTAATGAAACTTCCGTCGCTAGTTACGACGAAACCTCTCAGTGGCTTTGTATTCATCAGTACAGTTTTTATTCTTCTTTATTTACCCTGGTATGCCGCCACTTTCCATGTAGTTTGCCAACGTGACGTCGTTAGACCACACGTCGAACTGCCACTTGCGTAAACCAAGCACGCCGCAATGAACACGACCTGTATGAATGCCCACCCGCATATTCACGTTCACCGCCATCACTTCTCGCACCAACCTGTTTTTTCAAATCACAACATATCTAAATAACACGTGGCATATTCATAAAGAATTCTTACAAAAATGAAACGAGCACCGAAACTTTGCCGCCGCCTGCACACGCCTCAAACAAATCCATAGAAATGCGTATCAACAAGTTGACATAAAAAAATATACTGAAAAGGTTTCAGTCTTTTGATCATACCCGCATCATTATAAAACATTTAAATGAAACAACTGTAAACAAAAGGTATACAAATGATATCGCAAGCCACAAACGCACATACGCAAACAAATCAAACAACTACGAAACGTTTTCAATAGATGTTTTACATTGGACGAAATGCCAAATTCAATGCAAAGTGAGCAAAGTGAAAAGCGGAAAACTGAAAGCACCGAGCTGCAATATAAATAAGATAAACCGGTGCGAGCGTATCGAAATGATGATGCTTTCCACTATTTGCAATTCCATCAAGGATTTTGCGAGATGTGCGAAGGCAAATCAAATGACATCAAAAATTCGCGCCCAGCGTGCGGTCGCTGGTGATTCGATTTGCTATTTGTGAGTAATGCGCATCATCCATTCGTCTGCAATCTGTGCCAGGATCGCACACTCCAAACATACGTGAAGCATCCTATATTAGATCTACCCTGATAAGGACGAGCGCATAAATGTATACTCTGTTCACGTCAACAAATAATGCCAATTATGCATCATTTTTTATTATCTGGATCAACTAAGCTTATTTCTTGAATATTTCTGTATCTATCAAATTAATTTTAGACTATTGGGTATTGTTCGATATGTGAATAAAGTATAGACGCAATGTGATTGAACATAGATGCTCATCTGCGTGTGCATAAAGCAATAGTGCACAAGTTACACGATTGAACGAGTAGACACTATAGGTACATAGTACCACACGCTGCGTAGCAATTACAACGCCCACATTGGCACGAGTCCGGGGAATGTGCGAACACACAAATTGCAGTGCGGCGGCGGCGAAGACGGCTAATTAGACTACAGGTGCATCCGCTGTGCACGGGCGCAACTTACGCGATCGCATCGATCATATCCAGCCCCATCTCGACGGCGCAGTGTGCGTGATCTGGACGAGGTTCCGGCAGACCGGAAACGCAATAGTAACAATCGCCCAGCAGTTTAATGCGTAAACAGTGATGCTCCGTCGCTAGCCTATCAAACCTAAACAGATTAAATCCAAATCATTACTACAAATTTAATTATAGCTGAATCAGTTCATATTTAAACGTATTTTAATTCAAATACGCCAATTTTTACATCAGAAATATTTCTTAATATCAAATATTGAAAAATGAAATATTTTTAATATGCTACATGGATACTCATACTTTTACATCGATTTTATTATGTGCGTACCTTGCGAACAGCTCGTTTAATATCCGAACCAATTCTTCAGCCGTGCACTGATCCGACAGCGTTGTGAAACCGCATATATCGGCGAAAAGAATACTGTAACACACAAAACACAATAGAAGGGTGTAAAGAAAATCTTCATTTCGCTCGACTTGCGTACACGCAATTCAATGTGGAGTAATTAAAGTTGCCGAGATTAAAATAGAAATGAACGTACGCATTACTTCACATTTCATTGAAATCTTTTTCTGGATCTTTTTATAATTTGAGTTATTTCAAGACGGCGCTCACCTGACATTATCATGACGCTGAATATAAATCTTATGAAACTGCGTATCTTTGTGCTGCCCGGCGATATCCGCCTTCATCTCCATGGCGACATGGCGTGGCAGAACTGATAATAAAAGTCGTTCCTATTTCAAAAGCAAAAGTGAACATTAATGCAATATATAAATACATTATTACTTTCCATGAAATATGTACACTTTCCAATTTAACAAAAGTTCAACACTACACAGTCAGAATAGAAATTGAAATAGATTTACTTGTTGTTGATTTTCCCTCTGGATCTTCAATCTTGCTTCGATACATTGCCGCGTCTCCAGGAATGCTTTGCGCTGGGCAACCTCTCGAGGATAGTGCGTACACACGCCAGCAATGTTAGCACATAGCATAATTATACCAGTGCAAAGTATCATGTCTACCATCTTGCCGATTACACCCAGGAGAATCATATGCACAACCGCCATTAGTGTGCATACCAGAATCGCGTACTTGAGACCGATTGGTAGCAATGCGTAGGTGAGGTATGTGTTTGATAATGTGATTAGCGTTGCTGTCAAAGGGCGATCTTTGCCAACAAACCAAGATAGAGATATTTCCATTGTGAGAAATGATAGGACTATGAAGTACGATACTACAATTAGGTATACTTCGTTCATAGCTGGTTTTGCTAAAACTGTGAGTAAAACTGAAAATAAAATCATTTATAGATTTTAGGTATTTTGTTATTTGTAAAATTTGAATGATTAACATTAATTTAAATGCCAACCACGCATATTTAATCATCACCCAGTTATATTTAAAATATGCGGGAGCAAATCCAGCGGTATTCAGACAGTTGCCAATAATGCTGGTTTGCTGTCATCGTCAAACTGGCGATTCAACATGGTTGATCAAACAATCAAACATTGTCCGCGCCCGATGGAGTGTGCAATCGCATTGAGCGCAAAGCGTTGCCTAATCGAACAGTCAAACAATCGGATCAGCCCCGACCAAAACAAATTGCCAAATATATGTTTCTAATCAAAGTTGGAACACAATAATAATTGTATATTGACTTGTGGTTATGCAACGGCTTAATTATAACATCTTGTTCATATCTACATTGAGTTTAATAATCGAACTATTTACGCATGATTTGTTCACTGTCAAAATGTTTGCAATATGAAAAGAATTGATTAATAAAGTTCTGAAGCGGTTGTTTCGTGTTTCAAAAATTTGCGTCATGCATAACCGCATCGTGACAATGATTAACGATGATAAATGACATCATCTACTATCAAGCACCATTCCAAATTATTCTTAAACGTTATTCATTTATCATACAAACCAGTATGCCACAGAGCGGAAAATATGCATTTTTAATTGTGACAGGCCGGTAATTTTTTTGAAAACACTGCTTTTATCGTTTGATAGTTTGTCACTTACCTCCATAAACAGCTACACAAATGATCATGGTTGAGAACAAAACCACAGTGTCTTTATTGTTGTGCTGATCCATCACGTTACTAGTGAGTAAAGAATCCATGCCGGAAATAAGAAAGATAGCCGATGCGATTAAAATCAGCAGTGTTAACATATTGGTCATGTTGCTCTGGTTCATTTTAAGAAAATATCGCTGATACAGCATTTCCACCTAACAAAGGCACAAAAACAAACAAAAAACACATTAAAATATTTTTTTCAAATCTATTTAGTAATTTTTTTAGTTTTTACCTGTTCATTGTGAAATTCATGTGTTTTGCAAATATTTGAGAAAAACTTCCGCACGCGTCTTATCAAGGACACATCTGATAAGCTATCGATGTCTAGAAGATTCGTCTCGGCTTCACCTTGTTTAATATTAAGTGATGTATTCTGCGCCTGATGAAATTTATTAAATCAAAATATATTTTAAAAACTTGTAATACTATTTATTATTTGTGAAGAAGCAGGAAGCGATTTAAAAGAACATACCACAATGTTAAATGTGGATTCTCGTACCGCGTTGCCGCCGTAATTCCCGCCATAGTGTTCTATGACTTCCCAGTTGCTTTTTCTTTTGGTGTTGCGCTCACCATCGGATCGGTCCATAGGCGCTGGACTTGCGGTGATGGTCGACGTCGACGTCGACTCGCCACCGCAGTTATTGTGGCTGGAATTTTTTAAATTGTTTGACTTGCTGTTTTCTTCTTCATTCAACTCCAAATCGGATTGGTTTTGTCTCAAGCTTGTCCATTTTCTACCGAAACTCTTACGCAATGATACATTTTCCTGTGAATACATAGAAAATAGAAAATAAATATTTTATTACATTTTCTAACAAACGAAGCCAATTTCATAGAATATTAATCCATTTTTATTTAAAAATTTAAAAAAAAATTCAATATTTTGTTACGGCACGTTTTGATCCATGCCAAATTACAATGATTATTATTTTCGACTGTTGATTTATCCGTAAAAAATATCCCCTTTGACGCTGAGTACGGCACGTACGACTGATTCTATTAATAATGCTCGATATTGAAAAGGGTGAACAATGAACAACAGCTTGTTAAATTGTCCAAATTCAAAAAGGGGGACGACGAAAATTGGTTTACTGTCGTTAAACGAACGTTTGCTGTCATTTTAGTCGTTTTAAATGGCCAGAAAACATTTTGGACACGATTCCAAGTATTTTGCGAGGGAAGTGTTTAACAATTTGAACTCGAGTATTATAATTCAATAATTCAAAAATAGAACGGGAATTGCAAAAGGTCAAAATAAAAACGAGGAGGTTTAAAATTTAAAGTTCAATTCCAACGTGTTTTGATAACTGACAAAATGGCAACCGGTGTGAATGCAATCGAAATGAAATGATAATATTGGTGTATTATAATGAAATGTTCTTCAAGTAGACATCTTCAAGTACTCGTATATCTCAAATAATAGTCAAATTTGATATATAAACGAATTATTTATTAAATTACTATGGCCTCAGTGTAAATTCAAATATTTCAAAATCAATACAAAGCTCAAATATGTTTAGTGGCATCGTAAAATGTATGCGTGTATTTGAGGGCTCTTGCAAATGGTAGTATTCACACTCGGTAACATTTTCCTGCCGGTTTGATGCACCTCACAAGGGTATAACGATGTCGGAATCCTGATATTCGGAGAAAGACGACCAATCGATACACCTGTTTGCAATCGCACTGGCAAAAGTACTTCCACGTTACGCTCGGTTTGTAAAAGCACTAAACGAAACTTTTGCGTTTTCAATGCGAGTGGGTTATTCAATCGCTTTGTTATATGCTGGGGAATGTTCTAAATGTCATCGGAGTCATTGATAATTTATCAGGGTATGAATTTCAAACCTGCAACTGCCATTCTGCTTTCAGTCAGTTCAATTTAACTTATTCTGAAGTAAACACATTGGTTTAAAATTTTTAGAATTGTGCGTTTATATGTGGAAACGAACATTTTAATAGATTGTATGTTACACGCTTGTCAAATTCACTTATCGCTTATCGTGAATTCGACATGCCGTTGGCGTCGTAGAAGTTTATTTGCCAACCACGTGTTGGAAGTAATTTTCCTCCAGCGTTTCCTTGGCGAGAAGATGCAACAGGATCTTGTTCACGTAGGGAGGGTGCAAAGGCAAGCCGCTGGGAAAATGTGCCGAACACGATCCTAACGTAATATTAGCATGGGCAAGCTAAGTCGAGCTAAGGGCAATCATGCAGAATCTCCAAAATCTTCAAAAAATTTTGATTCATTTAAAAAGTTTCTTATTTGTTGGTCGAATGTTTTTCATATTTTATACTTATAAGCTGGATAAGCTTTATTTGCTTCGAGAAATATGGATGTATGACCTCTCGAGAGCAGTAAAAGAAATTAGATTTACACGACTGCACATTTGCATTGGTGATAATTTCAAGAGCCAACGCGAGGTAAATTTTTAATTGGCAAAAAGAACGCTCACGCGTAACACGTATTTAATTAGTAAGATTCAAAAGACACGTGGTTTTCATGCGAATAATTTTAAATCACGTTTTCACGATTTGCTGGTCAAATTACACCGTAAAACAATTATCCTCAAACAAACACAAACAACAATATAGAATATATTTTTTATTTTATTTAGTTTGTATGGTTTAAAATAGTATTGAGATTTATGTATGTAAACAGAATAAAAAAATTAAAATCTGTGCGAGATTTGAGATTCATGAAGCAACTCCAAAATGGAATATTCCAGGTTTTTAGCTTTAAGATTTACGACCTTAATGCACTGTCGCTCTGCCGTCTCCAAGCGTAAAATAGGGTAAATAGTGAAAATGCAAAGACGACAAGATGGCAGACGGTAAAGTCGAGGAGTTGCAAAGTGAAAATGGGAAATGTGACAAATATCAGCAAAAACGGCCCAGACCACTGCGTCCAAACAACGCGTTGGAGCGCAATGCATAAGATCGAATTAAATTATAACAGAAACCACTTTTCATCGCCACTTCACCATTATACATCATTTATCACATCTCTGAGACATGTGTATCAAATCTCAAAATGGCAACTGTTCTATAGCTAGAGTAGGCAACCAAATATACTCTCTACGCTTTGTCATATTACCATACATTTTTTTATGTTTTTTTTTTTATCTTTAATTTTCGTGACATGCTATTAATTTTACATTCGCACATATATTTTATTTTTGGGTTGTAAATAGCACATAATAAAAACGCTGTCGTTGAATATTTTGAACGCAACGGTGGTTGACTGTTAAACCAGAGACGTTTTCACTGGAGAGTAACAAAATTACGCGAGTGTTGACGAGTCGGGTTGAACGCGACACTGGGTGGCGTTGGATAATTAGCGAAACTTTTTAATGTTCCGCCGGCGAGACCGAGGGCATATCCTTTTTGTATATTTTTTTATTTTTAGCGCGTCAACTGCGTTGCTGCGGCGTGAATTTGAGCCCGTTACCAGTCGTTACCATTGTTACTTGGCAGTGTTTCTTTTATAAGGGTGGCAACAATGCAAAATTGCAAAATCTTCTAACGTCAAAATTATATAGTTATATACATTGTGTTTTTAATATTTATAAATTAAGACATTTATTTTTAGAATGCGTTTTTGAACACATTGTACATAAGCTTATAAAAATGAAATGGCAAGTTTATAAAAATACGAAAGAATAATGCGTCCATGATAATTGCGAAGAATTATAATTCCACACAATGGCGCACGAAAAAATCCGTTTTTGGAACAATGCGAAGCAGGCAAATGTGCAAAAATTAAATAAAAGGTAGCGCTAAAGAAGTTGAAAGCATTTCTTTTATTCAAGTTTATAAATTACTAACAAAAAATACGAAATAATATTTTAATTAATGAAGTAACTTAATTACAAAATGAATTTATAGGTTTCTTATTGAGAGCATTTTGAAAACTCAAACAATGATAGAAATACACATTGATTGTTTATTTGCATGTTCTCTTCAAGAAAGGCGCACGCGGAAAGGCCTTGTTAGTGTTTCCACATTTCTCGTCCATAGTCGTTATCCCGCCTGGTTTCAGACCCAAACAATCCCTACGCATTTCTCCAATACACATAGAACTCTCAAACAATTTGTTTTCAGCACAATGCAAGGAAAAAACTTTAAATCGAACGGTTCCGACTGTTCAATCAGCGCTGAATTTACAAAACAAGAAAAAAAATTGAAAAAAATATAATGTTCAATTTTGATATAAAAGTATTAGGATTTTATTTACATCATTTTAATTCAAGTACACCATTAAAATGAAGCAGTCTCGTTATAATTTACAAATCGAATCTTCATTGAGGTCTCAGATCCTTTCATGCCCCGATTATAATTTGCAACTTGAACGGATTCTCAAGGCTTCACATTGTCTACGTTAAGTTTTGTGAAGCGTAATCAGTGTTTTGACCGAGTGTCTCGCACATACAATTGTTAATTGAAACTCAGTCTCTCGGCACATTGCCGCCCACATGAGTTTACAAAAAACTCGTTGTTCAAAAGTTTTGTTTGTGATTTAAACTTTTTTATGTGTGTGTGTGTGAATCAAGTGAAAATGAGTCTGAATAGAAATAAAAAAAAAGCACAAAGCCTACTAATTTCGACGACATAAGCTTCACAAAGCCCTCACAAACATGTGCTTCAATATCAAACCAGTCTTAATATTTGTAAATCAGACATCAAAGTGGGATCAAAGAAAAATTGAGTGCTTAACAATTTTATTGTAACCAGCAAGAAAAAAATCACAGTTTTAAACAGATCAGTTTAAACATTATGAGCTTAAACCTTAAACCATTTATGCATCAGACAACGTGTAACGAGTAGACATAAACCTTCTCTTGTCTGAATTTTCTGTAGCACGCAAAGGAATAAATTCTCCACTCAAACATATTCAGCACGCAAAGTTGCCACACGCGTCGAGTACACCCAAGCAGGATTCTCAACAATGCCAGCAATTCCAGCACATTATTTCATCGGCTCTTGTATCCTCCTTTCAAGCTTTTCTTCGTATTTCTTGTGTTTTCTAACTCTAGTACAGTTACTTCTCGCAGTGCCACGTGGCATCGCCGTGTCGTGCCAACTGTCGACGGGCCGACAGTTCTGAAGTCGTTCTACCAGACTTACTGACAATGCTGCTTGTTTAGGATTTCGTTTTGATGCACATCACTGCCCTAGGTAGAAATTGCATAGAAAATTAAGCCGTAATTAAGCGACGCAAAAACTCAGAAATCAGAAATGGTTTTCTTCTCCCTTGTGAATTGTGAGGGTGGTTGTTGGTTTTGAGTGGCATTCCGCAAAACTGTCGTTGGTATTTCGTTTCATATTGCGTGAATTGGGTTGAACTGTGAGTTGAAGTTCAAATTGAGTAGAAATGCGGCGGGCAACGCTCGAAATATATATTTTGAGGATGTGGATTTGTAATAAGCTGGTTTTGTAAGCTCTAAATTATTTTCGCCAAGGCGGAAGAGACGAGTTTGTTTCCGTCTGATGTGGTGGTTGTATGCTGTGTATCGGGATAGAGGGTAAGCGAGATTTTGCGGCGCCGCGTAGGCAATAACGTAAACAACCTTATTTTCATTTCATTCAAATTCACGATCCACAATTCGCGACTTTGCAATTTCCGAGAAACGTTTTCTGCAGATATTAAAATGTGCAGTCGTAAAATATGTTTTTCCATAAAAAATTCAAACGCATTTTTTTTTATTCCGCTCGTCAATAACTCCAGAAATAGAATTGAAAAATATCCACGTTAACCAACAGCAA